TCTGGTATATATCATTCCATATCACATTCTCTACATGTGCACATCACGTGTCTATTTATATATAACACTCTCAATGTTGATTATAACTTAAATAGATGCGCACATTTCTACCATTTCCAACACATAAAACACACTGACTAATTAACATCAAAGGAAGTAGTAAATAACTGCTCTTTGTTCCAACACAGTATCAGTTTGTCCTAAATAGCAATGCGTGTGTATAGCACGCGACAACACTTTACTGCAGTTCAAAATCCGGGAATTGTAATAAATAAAGCTATTGAAGCTAACTTTGATAACAATTAAAACCCACAAAAAATTTAGTCCTCACATTATGGCTGGAAATACTATTTATTGAGGTGCGTGATGTACTCAAATCAGTTGCTACTATTTTTTATCAAATTAGTCCGTGATTGTATTTTTAATTATGTGGGTTATATATTTCACTTTTAGTTTGAAGTATAAATAGACACGAGGCCTGATAGAAAATGAATTTTTCTTTAAAGATATCAGATTTTAATAATTCAAAGGTTCAAAGAAATAAGGCACAAGGTGACTTCATTAGATCCTTTTTTATTTTGAAAGTAACCAGTATATCTTTCATTAATTTACGGAAATTGTGACCAGTTTTTAATTTGCAACATCAAAGAACACAAACTACTGGTGCCGTATTTTCAAAGATTGGTGAAAGATTTGACGATAAAAAACCTTTCGCATAAATATCAAGAGTCAATTATCGCCTGCATTCTCAACAGATAGGACACACGTTCAAATATTTTGCTCTTAAAATTAAAATGCACTCTAATTCATTCTTGTAACTAAATAGTGTTTAGTAAAAGAGTATCAACTGGTTATCGGGTTGAAGTGAAATAAAAGTGATTGACAGCCATTCAATAAATTGAAAGTTGACAAAAGCAAATCTATTGTGTGCATGCTTTATCTTTTAGAATATATTTCAGTTTAATTTGCAGCTATATATTAGATACACTGGTTACAGTTTACCGTTACAAATTTCACGTCACAGATAGGCAGTGCAGTAATTTACCCTTTTGTCTCAATTCTACAGACAATTATCGGCAAGATGAAAGGAAGTGAATATTGTTGAAATTGAAGAGTAGAAGGGTGAAGAATGCAGGTATATTGTAACAGTACCATCCGTCACGTTTTAAGACTAGAAGTAAAGAAGGTTTAACTATCATCTCTTCAACGCCATCTGTCAATCTTTTTCCGTATAATAAGCACGCATGCGCACTAATAGCAATGTGACAATAATCTTTAAGAAAACGATGTTAATTATGAGTTTCTTTTCATATTCCTTTCGTCATTTATTTTAGAATGCTACTAATGTATAATGCTTTGGGCTATGCCATGACTTATTTTGCCACACGTTGCAATATTTAACATCCAGGCAACGATATCTATAGGTTCCAAACTGACTGTCAACCATACAGCTTGTTTCTGTACAAATAGTTGCACGCAAATGTCAAATGTTTAACGTCAAATAAGTTAAGCAAATTCAAACATATTTTTATTAAGGATGAATTAAAAGCGATAGATTTATGTTGTTAAAATATGACAAGGTAGAATATAATGGTACATAAATTATAATGTAGTTGTAATAAATGGCTTAGGAAATAGTATAAGATTATCATAGCTTAATCCATTATAGCTTAATAATAACAAACTGATATCTACTTAAAATACTGATATATACATCACATCATTCTGAACAATGATAACTTACACCTGAATTTATCTTGGAGAAAGATCTAACTTTTGACCAGTGATCAAACTACTAAAACACCTTGATATCGTCAAGTCGTAAAAAACTTACACCAAACAATATAATATACCTCTAATTACTAATTACATATTGTTACAAACTGTAATAAACAAGAATATTAATTATTTCTCAATTGGATTTAATTAATTTAAAAAGATCAAAGATTCTACATTCAACAGTTTTTTTTTATATCAGTCATGTACAGCGTAATAGTATATTTGTTCATGCTTGTTCTCTTTTAAATTCAAAGATTCAATATTTGTAAATATAAGATTTTGTAATACTCATCTGACAACAATATGTTATAATCAAAGCATATGAAAAAGGAAAACAATCTGCAGGAAATTTAAAAATCAAAGTAACAGTCTTTAATCTGAATAGTGAAACTAAGTACAAAGTAGATTTAAAAATCATTAATTATTTTACTCGTGTCTTTGTATTTACAACCTAAAGTCAATGATAAATATCCACTTTTACCTGGTTTTATGCTTTGATTAATGTGAATTTAACATCTTTTGTGTGTTTTCAGTATCATTTTCAGTCAAATACCAATTTATTCGGGGAACTAGTAACTAATTATCATCGTAGTAGCTGGCCTTTATGAAACGAAAATAATGTTAATTTTTAAAAACACCAGCCTAGGAACTGGCATTGTTGTTCTCAAGCTTAGATTAGAACCCCTCAATAACAGAAAAAACCTTCATTAGATTCATTCGCACCGTACAAATAAAATTGGGAGAAAATACAAAACAATACAACAATAAAAAAAAATCAAGGACCATCGAACCCCTTCCATATGAAAAGTTTATTGTGGCTGGTCAAAGTCAAATCCAGTTCCAAGAAAACGACCAGCATAATTACAAAAGATTGTTTAACCATTTCATTGCAAATTTTTTTAAGTATTGAACATTTTCAATCATACAGGCTTTTTTTATTATTGGGAAAAATAATGTTATAAGGTGTACGACAGTGCTTCGTTATAAAGTCTATCTTATTAGTCTTTTTTAAATGAATCTTTCCCATGTATGAATGTTTCGGTGGACTATCCTTTATTGTACATGGATTTAGAATAAAGTCAGAAGAGGTCATGGCAAGCAGATGATAGGCGAAAGTGCAGTTTTAAATGCTGAACAATAGAAGACCATATCTATATCGTTGACACTCTATCATAATAAATAAAATTGACATGTCTTATTGAACCTCTTATTATTTCAATGGACAAGTTATAATAGAAAGAAAGAAACAGGAAAAAAATCCAAGAGCAATTCAGTGGATGGAGAGATGTCAAGTGGCTTTGAATAACACACAGAGTAAATTAGTTTACTACCTTACAATAGAATAAGTGTATAAGCTAATGATATAAGTCTAAGTGGTATTTTTCTTGTTCACTGAATTAGAAGATGTAAGAAGTGTGACTCGGTAGTGAAAAAGATGCATCAGTGATTCTTTTAACGATATTTCTGCTCCACTACTCGATTTCATCTGTATATGAATTAATGTTTACCTTCACTATGATGATATACATGTGCTGCACCACTTCATCTGTTGTATTATCATATACTGCTCAAACTATCATATGTCACAAAAATTTGGATAAATTTACAGAATAAATTGTACCAACTTTCTAAAAATTTGATAATTTTTAAGATAAAATTCACACCTCAGGAGTGAATGCTACGATTTTTTCCTACATAGACATGTTTTAATGGGTGGGACAAATCCCTTCTAGATATTTATGATAATATTTAAAAGTATTCTGAACAGTCCCAAACTTTGCAATGTTAGGAAATTGGATCGATCATGCAGTTAGTAATGCCATTTGTAGTTTCCTCACATCAAATATAAGAAATGTATTACGACCATGGCGACTTTACATTATATAATGTTTTGTTGGATTACATGAAGGTATAAATAAATGAATAGCGTTGTATTAGTGATGACTATTTATTATTGATGATACATTGATTCTTATTGATTACCATTCATCATTATACAACTTTGATTATCTTGGAATGTAAACGTGTGTTTGTCACCAATATATGGGCCTATAGCTTGTATTTGTAATCAACGTTATTGGAATTATTGCTGATTTGTCCACATCTATGAACAGAGAAAAAAGAAAATATATACTTTTTAATTTTGAATCGTGGAATCGTGGCTTCCGCAGTACTATGTTAAATATCCTATATTATCAGCGTTATATATCTATATTTATAATGTGCCTGTTTAAATGGATATTCAGAAACATGCTTGCACATCATGCGATTAAGCTTCTATCTAACATCCATTGCGTTGATCATTTAGTCCGAACTCAATGAAATGTCTGATGCATATCTATTAACTATTAAACAATTATGGTTTGCATCGTGCATCGTTGCAATTACAGTATTAGTATCCAAATGGATTTAAACCCCGAGATTTTCATGATCAACATGTAACAAAAGGACTAAAATGTATTCTCTCAAGGACGTCGGGATTGCTTTTGGAATTTTCAGCTGATTTAGAAGTAATTCGTTTGAAGTAGTCATCATAAAACTAAAAACATGGAGTATTTTTTTTCAAAATTCAAATGATAAGAATATTTTCAATTTTATAATTTATTATAAATAAATAACAAATGTAAAATAAATAAACAAATCGGTAAACAATATATAGTAAGAGAGGTAGGTAGAAGAGTTCTTATAAAAATAATGTTCATTCATATCATTCACATTTTCACATAATAACAATAGGCACAATGAGTAACCTTGGTGAATTCTTTAAAATAGTTTATAGTTTCACATTCATTCGAGTTCAGATTCATTCATATTTCACATTTTATCACATTGTACTTTTTCTTCAGATCTCTGGTCGAATGTTCTTAGATGATGTTAACAAAATCTTGATAACTTTGGTTGGATGGAAATGGATACATATTTTTGTTCACGTTGTTATAAGGCATTTGTGTCATATAATTTCCCTGCATAGAATCTGCTGGGTATACCTGTCCTTGATAATGGGGTGAATACACTGGACTGTCAATAAATTGAGAATCATATTGTGAACTATAGTCTGAGGTATCACTACCTGGGGAGGCAAGTTGTGGTGATGAACACATTGAACTGAACGTTGACAATAGATCAGGAGTTTCATTTGTTAAGAAATTTGCCCTGGATACCACACAGTTTTCACCATTCAAACTATCCATCTTCATAAACGGAATCTTTTCAGGTTCGTTATCCAACATTTTCACAGTTTGACTCAAAGCCCAGATATAATTATAGGCTGTACGAAGTGTCTCGATTTTTGTCATTTTACCATCGGCGCCATTGGGAAGGATTTCTCTCAAAGTTTCCAGAGCATCATTTAAACTGTGCATCCTATTTCTTTCTCTATCATTGGCTCTGTCTCGTCGATTCTTCTTCATCTTTACAACGTAATCAGCACTTTTCACTCGCGGTTTTCTTTTACGTTTCCTTTCAACCGGTTGTTCAGCTATATTTTCCTGGCTGATTTCGGCTTTTACGGGAATTTCAGATTTGACAGCATCAAGGTTCACTGGTAATTCTGCCATGTTGAATCTTTGGTAAATTTTAATACTGCTATGTAGAAACTGTTAAACTCCGAGGTGAACTTAGTCACTAAAGTGTAAACAAGGTAATGAAACTTGGTTTAAAAGTCGATGTAAACGAAGCAAAATGCTTGGGATGAATGAGTGTCCAAAATATCCATTTGCCCTTTTATACAATTTTCGACCGGGTGCCTATTGTTTAACAATGATAGACATTTCACAACGGCTACTTTGACAGTTCATAGTCACGTGACTTGGTTTGGAAGTGGGAGGGGCTATTGACACCCATTGTTGTTAGTGGAATAAGGTGAAAGCGGTCCAGACCGTCTTCGGTTGGGATTTTTCATTAATAATTAAATAAACTTTATTGATTTCATTCATATTTTGGACTGTGTTTTGAAATATCGAGTAAATAGGGAATTGACATTTATTTGATTTATTTTGACATAATTGACGCTAATATTTCCAAAGAAATTTTATAAATTAATTGCAATAAATTAACATTTTGTACTATTTTTAAAAAAACAATCACATTAGCATTTCGTTTAAATTCGTGCAGGAAAATCGTTTAAAGGAAGTAAAAGAATTGAGAAAAAATATTAAAATTTAAAGGGTGTGTGGTCAGTGCTGTCAATCTTATTTTTATTGTTTAAATTTCTTGTATTCTATTGGTACGGCCAACTGGCGCGTGCAGGTAGGTTTTCCACGCGACCTTGGTCCCCGAGAGCAAATCTATTGTATTTTAACAAAAGGGTAATTTTTGCGCCTTGGGAAGAAGCTCGTATAACAAGAAATTCTACGCCTCGGCGTTCGGGTATTTTTTCTAGTATTATGATTGGTTGTCTGAACTGACCAATCATATACAATAAGCGTGTCTGTCGCGTGCAGGCCTGGAGATTATAGTAAATTGGTTTGCCAACTTGACGATTTACCGTTGACGGTGAAGTGATTGGTAGACTTAGTGATAATAATCACATAGGCAACTTCCACTTACTGTATGATCTAACTGTTGACTCCTTAAATTGTCTAGTTGAAGTAGAAAATACTTGAATAAATAGATAACAATAATAACATTGGTTCGCTATATCAGATTTAAACACCTTACCTTATCTTTTCAAATTGACGACGCGACATTCTGATCATAGGACGACACATGGTATATTTCTATGTCCATATGACCTAACCATATTTCATCATTAATTTCATGCAACTTTACATGTTTTGTATTGATAATATTTATCAATGGCGACATGTCCCCTGATAAAACTATAACGACCAACTGTTATTTCTTAAAACAATGTCTTTGTTTCTATGTTGTGGTGTGTTTACAATATGTTAATGATCAGAAGAATTCTATTCTTCAATTAATCTATAGTGCAGCTAGTACATTCTAATGCTGTCGCAAAGTCATTGAAATCAACTTGTTCGTTATTACTGTGAAACGTATCACTGAAGTAGTTTCCAAAACCGGGATTAGACGTCCATTTAGTAATAGTATCTCAAACATTTACGTATAACAACCACTGAGAGCAAGACAACTGTTTCTCCACATTATCATTAGCGAACCATCAACTCTTTGCCAATGGTTGTAAAGTGCTCGATAATACAATAATATTTCTTGTGCATATATTCCTTAGACGATCAAAAGAATTGTCAAATTAGATTGACAAAAGAGTATATAGAAACTCACGGATTTCACATTAATGGCGTCATGGTATAGAAATCTTTGATATTTGAAATTAAAAAAGTAGAAAGCGGATCAAATGTCGAATGAAAGAGTTATTAATTACAATTTGATTAAATATGATGACAATGATGATTATCTATTCAGGTAAAACGTAGAAACAAACTGACCGTACTTAAACTACTTTGATTTGACCGCTCTGCTTTTGTCATATCACAGTCGGATTTCACGCTGCTGTCCGAATCAGTGTTTAAATTTTCGACTACTCCATAATTATTTTGATTGATGCCCAGTTGGAAAAGTGAGTTTTCACTCTAATTCTGATAGATACTTGGTGTGTAATTGAAGTCTGGGTGATGGCCCTACCTGGGGGTTTGAGGGTTGGGTCATTCATCACGAGATCTCTATATGAATACAGGTCATCTCAACACAATGTTTGTACAGAACACTATAAAACATGTATTTGTAAATTAACAATAGAAATATTAGAATAAATATATTCACAATCATTTTTCTTTCATTCTTTTAAACTCTTCCGTGTCTCTACACGATAGGTAGTAGTGGTCTGTGGAAGTCAGCGGAATAAAAAAAAAAACACAAAAGCATTTGGGACACGGACAAGACAACTGAAATCGTGTGTAAAGCTGTCTTTAAGATGGCGCTGGTAGCTTGTAGGACAAACTTGTGTAGAATTGACTATCCAGGTTCTTTCTGAAATATTTTAGTGTTTTAAATAAGTGTATTAAAAGTAAAACAGGTAGATTTGTTATTTATAACCTCAATTCTTGGAATGGTAATATAATGTTTTTATAATAATAATGAAATTTTATTCGTGTTTTACTCAAACAATATAATTTTTGAATATTTGGTAGGCCCTAGCAATATTTCATATTTGACAGAGGTTTATTACAGGGTTCAATTTAAGCGATATCGTATCGAGTCAAAATAACCCCTTGTGTGGTCTGCCTAAACTGAAAATCACGACGATCTGCTAATCACATCATGTTGTATATTTTTCGTGTGAAATTCCTGCCAAATTTAGAAATATACGGCAACACTTGGTGACCTCTTTAGCTTTAAGGAAGGTTTTTGGCTAGATTGATCTGAAATCTACAGAGACAACACTTTACAAATTTTTATAAAATGCGAATCAACATCTGACTTCATTACCCAAAACTGAAATGTTATAAAACTGTGGATTATAACTTTAGTTTCATACAATTGCCTGTTGTTAAGATTGATGTTTTCTCGATTGTCGGTGGTGGTTAATCTGGACCAAACGTTCGAATGCCATCAGAAACACATTATAGACCTTGACACTTGTTGTTTATTATTGAAGTGATAATCTTGGTTGTTTGCTCGATTTGAATCTATTCGTCTACATGCTTAGAAATTATTGGCAAGAAGACATGAAGACCAAGTGTCGCCACACGCTTGTCGAGTTGCAAGAGGATTACAATCGTATTAGAACAGATGAAAGAATGATTAAAAATGATCACTGAAATTCAGCCCCAATTACCAATTTAATACTTTCCTTACTTCTAAAAGAATAAAAAGAGATTTTAGTTTGACAAGTTGACAAGCGGTAAATCCACTCTACAAAGACTTGCTTAACGAAAATTATTGGAAGTTTTTCATCGACACACGAAGCATGATGAGTCGTTGATTAAAATAAACCAGGCGTATCTCGACTGGAGTGATGTCTATATTCGCCACCTTTGTTGTTGTGTAAAAATCAAGTTCAATAAGCATTGTGGCGAGACATGAAGCGTGATGGCTATATTTAATACTTTAAAATTGTGTAAAAATTAAATTTTTAACTGATGAAAATTAAAATATAAACACTGAAAGATGTCATTATACCGACAAACATTATTCAGTTTTGTATAATTGATAATATTTACCATTGTCGATGAATTTATGTTTTAAAACTCTCTATCTCGTATAATTAAAATCCGTATGAGCAAGACAATTCCGACAATCAAAAATCTCGTTATCTAAAGGGGCTAAAGGGATTGCAAAGAGGTTTTCTAATATTGTTTAATCATATATCGGGAACACTTTGCATCATTCAAAGTTGATTTGTCACATAGACTAAGATCCTTCGCAATTAATTATGTCAAGTTTTAGTGAAATTGTAGAAACCATTGACGTCTGATTGAAAATTGGAATGGTGGCAATTGATGCTATTTGCAACCATATGCAACTGGTAATCGGTATGATACCTTAAGATGAGCGTAATATACTGAATAGTCAACTCAGCTATAAAAACTAAAATTATTCAGAAACAGTCAACTTGAAACAATATAAAACGGATATATGCGTTTAAATGTTTTCTCTACCAGATAGTCAGGCTGTTATGATAATCTCGTGGGCGGTATAGGCGTACGGACCTGTTGGAGGGCAGGCTGATTTGCCCGATATTTCCCCACGAATTTTACCAGTATTTTTATTTGTTTTCGGGCAACGATTTTTTTTCAGTCGCTGCTCGAAAAGATTATATTTTCCGGTGACTCTTGATCATGATATTAGTAATATTTGCACATGAGCTCATCGTTCTGAAAATTGGAAGAGACGGCAGTTCACTAAAGTGTGTTTAATATTAATCATCCTAAATATAAACCATATTTGATCCATTCCCCATAAGGTGCAATTGGTAATGTTTTGGGGTTTTTTCCCATGTGAAATTGGAACGTATATTGGTGTTGCTCGTGTCCGTCGGCCCATTCGTAACGCTCAAGAATTCTCAATTCTCAATCCTTGACGAAACCCGACTCAACTGGGTAAACGTTTGTATTATTAACCCAAGGACGAATTCTATCAAAACTCAAACAGTCCAGACATATTTGATGTGGATTATTGCCTTTGTTAATTCGAAACGCGGTCAATTTTTAGATCGTGAATACTCTATATTTTGACCGAAGTGTGTATTGCCACGCAGGAGGAAGTCTAACCTTAAAAAAACGAGAAATATTTGATATAAGTTATTGTTTTTGTAAGCATACTCTACAAGGCAAAATTCTAATGGATTTTGACGAAACTTGGTGAATTTGTTCATTATCATCCAAGGATAAACCCTGCGGAAAATCCCTAAATGTATATAAAAATCTTTGATTTGTGCTATTGCCCATGTTTGGCCCGTTTAAATTTTTGTTTTGGCTGAATTAATGAAAAAACTTAATTAATCAAGGTCTATCACTTTCTTTCATAATATAAAATCTGT